TTCTCTTGGTCCCAAGCAAGGGTGAAAAGGAGATTAAAAGATAGACAGATTTTAGTAGAACAAGTTGGAGCTATCTGGAGAAGAAAAGATGACAAGTAGTGAGATCTCCATCCCTGAAGGTGTACAAGCACAGGGAGGCTGAAGGAAACTCTCTTTAGGGCTGTTTCTACCAGGATCTTGGTTAATAGTTTTGCTCCTTAAAATCTTCCAGGGATTGGCCTATTGATCAGTGTTTTGGAATTGTGGTAAAACAGAACCTGAATAGGTGTCTCTCTCATGTAACTGTGGAAGACGACATAGGAAAGTGGGGTGTGTGTTTTAGCAAGTTTGGTACAAAGCGCCAATTGCTTTCCACCAGATAAGTCTCAGTAGGCCTTTGTCAGAGCACAATCTGCTTTTGAATTCATTTAGAATCCATTCCCAGCAGCACCATCTGTTCCTGATTGTCCTACCATCTGACCATTTACCCTCTGTCAATCCCTTTCTCTGGGCACCCCTCCTCCACTGCCACTTGGAGTCCACCCATTGTCCAACCTGGATAAACTGAGTCTGAGGAGAGACTGGACAGGAGAGGGAGGAGGAGGGGGGAGAATGGCCAACACACTGGCATTCAGGGCCAAGAGCTGTCTGGTGAGACCCCACAAAGCCTTCCCACTAAACCAGGGAGAAAGCATTTGGCCAAGCCAGGGCCATATTGTGCCTCCAGGCAGTCTGATGGCTCCACAAATAATATTGATGCCTTTTGTTTGGAAACTCTTTGTGGAGGCTGCCCATATCCCAACAAGCCATGCTAAATGCTGGGTCTCCCCAAGACACTTTGCCTTTTTGCACAGTCCCGCAGCAAACTACGTAGGCAGATGAGGGCCCCTAGATGCTAATGAGGGGAACGACTGGCATTCCAGAGGCGCCCCGGCTCTGGGAACCCTGCCTTTGTTGCTAAGGAGCATTGGAACTATAGCTGAAAGGCTCTTACAAGAGACAGGAGCAAGGAGAGGGAGAAAAGAAAGGCAAGCATTTGTTTTCAGACCTTCACAATTCTCTAGCCAGCTCCAAAGCTGTCCAATTTCTGATCCCAATTAGAATATCAAACCCTGTTCTTGTTTCTCTTAATGATCTTGGGAAATTCCTCTGAAGAGTCAGCAAGCACTTAGCAAACTCTTTGGATGGCGCCATCTCTACAGTTGTGCTTCTGGTTGTGTGAACACCCCATGCCAAAGAGGCCTGAAAATATCCTTTATTTCAGTCCCCAAAAGGCAGTGATGAAGTTTAGGGAGCTAGAAGAGGCAGAAAGCTGCTGGGTTTTCAGAATGTTCAGGTGGGGGCTCTATTCAACAGACATTTACCAGGTGCCTACTTGGTGGTGAATCTGGGCTCTGTGTTGAAGACAAAGACAAGAAAGACCTTGGCTGTGGCTTGGAGTTGACTCCAGATTTGTGGAAGAGACAGACCATACATACTAAAGAGAATTCTGTGGGATGCTGTTACTCCCTGAGCTTCAATTTCTAATCTGTACAATAAAGGAAGTAATGCCAACCTAGTTGGCCTATATGAGGAGTAAGTGCATGTGAGAGAATAAGGAACAGGAATGTGGAAGACTTGGTCTCTGCCTTCCAGGGCCTCACATTTGAGCCAGCTGTTGGCTTCAAAGGTGTCTGTACCTGGCAACAGCACTTAAAGATTTGGGCCATTGAACAGGGTAAAGTGAAATACTGTATAAGGATAAAATAACAAACTAGTTCCCCTATGGAGCATATCTATGTGCCATGCATAGTACTGGACATCTTGCACAAGTTATCTCATTTTATACGAACGACCCCATGAGGTAGGTAGTATTAGTACAGAAAGGTTAAGTAAATTGCTCAGGATCCCACAGCTGGGAAGGAAACTACCCAGGTGATGAGATCCAGTCTTCATTGTCTTCAGTGCTCTTTCTATCTTTAAAGGCCGAGACTTTTGGAAAGGTGGGGCAGCCACAGTTCACACCAAATCTCTCCGAGAGCATACTGGAGGTTGACAAGTCAAGTGCATGCAAACACTCATTTAGAAAGGTTTTGCTGGAAAAAACTCTTCAAGCTCATAGACACCATGCTTTCTTGACTCAGTGTTTATTAATTCACAATGTCAAGTCATGGGGAGCACACAGAACACCACTGATCTGAGAGAAAAGTAACAGATTTTCCATAAGCAAACTACAGAGGAATCCCAGCATAGAGGTCATCATGAAAATCTGAAGTATAGGTACTAATGACTTCATACTATTTTCCTGTTTCTGTCAAATGGTTTCCCTCACAGCCAGGCTTTCTGTATCCTCTACTGTCATACTGTCACATTGATAGCTAAGCTTTTCTCTATGACTTAAGTTGAAGTTTGGTTCTTTTAATATTTACTCAGAGAAAAACTGTCTTTATCATTGTGCTGGTCTTGCAAATGAACACACCCGCACACTCACACACACACAAACACACACACAGAGACTTCTTGGGGGAAAGCAGTGGAGAATTCCAGATAGGAGATGATCCAAAGGTAACTGTCATTTGGCTTAGAAGGCAGACACATCATAAAATTTGTTTTTGCTGTAGTAGCAGCTTGACCTCCCTATATCATTTCACTCAGACTATTGTTCAACCTTTTTTGTTTTTTTGAAGCTTCTGAATGCTCAGCAGCTAGGGGAAGGGGCATAAGAAAAATACATTTCTATTACATGCAATACATTTCTATTACATCCAAATGGCATTGCTTTCAGTATTTGTAACTTTCCTGTGAAATAGACCCAGTTACTCCCATTTTACAGATGAGGAAATTGAACCTCAAGGAAATTAGGCAACTTTCCAAGGCTACAACGTACTAAGTGCCAGAGATGGATTTTGTCTCCGTTTCAAGCCTATTCTTTTTCTATTCTCCATAGAAGTAGTGGGTGTGCGTGTGGGTGGGGGGTGATTGTGGATTTAGATCTGGCCGTGGTTACCCCACTATTGAAGTATTCATTCAGTCAACACCATCTAAGTACAGGTTATACATGGTCTATAGTCACACAGCTCCTAGGGCAATCTTTGTGCTGTATTCTATGCAAATAGTGTCCCCTCCACTTGTTTAATTGGGGAATGCTGAAGCTACGTATCAGGAACTATACTGATGTGAATATAAAGAAACTGGCAAGGTAAAGTTATTGTCCTTCAGGACCTCATGATTTATTCTAATAACCCCATCTTCATGTCTAGGACCTCCTATTACCCAGACTCCCTCTGCAACCCACTTGCAGCCACCAAGGCCTTCTTAGGTCTCACAGCCAACTGACCAGCGCCTTCCAAGGCTCTGTCCCTCCTGCCAATTATTAACTGAACAATCCAACAGCTTTCTTACACTTCCCTTCTCTGAGCCTCTGTTTCCTCAGCTGTGAAATGGATTTGTAAACCCTGCCTTATAGAATTGTCACAGTTGGATGAAACAAGTATGTCAAATTCTCAGCCACACAGTAGTTGTCCAATGCATATTACATTTTTGATCTGATATTCCAATTTTCCTCACTTGGTATTTTATTGGCACGAGAAATCCATTTCTGACTTTCCATGTCTTCCTACTCTCACATTTAGCAGGTTTAAGAGCTCTAGCACGATGAAGAGTGGTCTGCCTCAAGAAGCATTTTTCCTGGTAATGCAAAGATCATAAACTAAACTATGTCAGAATTAAGAGGCCCTTGTTGTTGTTAGGAACCCTGGTGGTGCAGTGGTTAACAGCTTGTCTGCCAACCAAAAGGCAGGCAAATGGAATCCACCAGCCACTCCTTGGAAACCCTATGGGGCAGTTCTACTCTGTCCTATAGGGTCACTCTGAGTGGGAATCAACTTGAAGGCAATGGGTTTGTTTTGTTGTTGTTGTTAGGTTCTGTCAAGTCGATTTCCAACTCATAGCGACCCCATGTGACAGAGTAGAACTGCCTCATAGGGTCTTCTGGGCGGTAATCTTTATGGGAGCAGATCATGGAATCGTTCTCCCATGGAGTCACTGGGTGGGTTCAAATTGCCAACCTTTCAGTTAACAGCTGAGTGCTTAACCATTGTGCAACCAGGGCTCCTAGAAGGCCCTTAGAGATAATTTATGGATCCAAAGTATTTTGTTCTTAAGTTTTTGTTCCTATGATTTCATGAGGCACCTCACTATATAAAATGATTGTCTTTTCTGTTTGATTTTTACCTTGACCTGACTCCTTCATCCTGTCTCCCACACCAGTTTGAAAATCAGTATCTAGGTCATCCAGTGTTAGTAATGGTGCTGGGAACACCTTTGCCTCTGAAGCCCCAGTAAGAGCCCTTCCATAAGCTCACACTGCCTGTGTGGTTTGATTTGCTTGTAAGTGTATGCTGTGTGGGAGGTGAAAAGTTGGGGAGGAGGTGAAGGATACAAGAACTATGGGAACTGGTAGAAAGTTGCCACTGATTTTCCTGCCTTGAGGGAACAAAGAATCCTTCAAAACTTCTATCTAGTATTCCTGGAAAATATCCCTGGAGATAGTGTAACACAGTCTAGTTTTGTATTGGAGAAAACACTGGACTTGTTCAGAAAACTTCGTTTGGGATTCTGCTTCAACTGCTTAGCATTAAGGTGATATATTGCTAATACATCTATTTTCCTTATAATGGGAAAGCCCTCCTAGAATGGTAACTAGGGGCAGGACTGATTTATTCAGTCAGAAACAGTGTATTTAGGCCTACTATGTGCCAGACACTTTTGGGAGTTGACAACATCTAGCACATTTTTTACTATATGGAGTTGTGGGGTTTGCAGAAACACAGTTTGATCAGCAATGTAGAAAAAAAAATGAAATCATAATGGTAATAAGCCTGATTAAAATAGAAGGAGATTTTAAAGTAATTGAGCTCTTGCACATCGGAAGAGAAAACCTGGTTTCCTCTGATCACTTTGAGCTGCTTATGAGCCAGCCTCATAGCCAGAAACCAAGTTCAAGTCAAAAGCGTCTGCTCTGACAATGCCTGCACCCCTACACTCAGGCTGGAGAAACGCGTGAACATCTGTTCGCACAATATGGGCTTGTGCTCATAGCTCCTTTAAGTACCGCAGCGCAGGCTCCAAGAGCATATTTTCCCCCGAACAAAATCTCCGCAAGGCCTGGTCGATTTTCCGAGGGCTCAGGGACAGGTTGTAAATGAGATTGTAGTTGTGAATGAGGCGTCTGGCTCGTTCCTTCTCTAGGACTCCTGTGATTGGGTTGGGCGGGCGGAAGGTTTTTAAAGAGGAAGGAGAAAACAAAGAAGAGAACACGTATGAGCTTGAATGGCTGCCAAGTAGACACTAGAATGGTAACAGTTTGAAATTTTAAGTTTCTTAAAAATCAGGTGACACCCTAAAAATCATATTTACAGTGCTGGATATACATCCTGCATTTCAGGGGAAATTTGGGGGTGATTTTAGAGGACAGAGGAGACGGGGTCCAATAAAATCCATAGATAAATTCGAAAGCTACTTAAGCTTGTTCTTTGTAGCCATAAAACTTTAAAGGCTAATTTATTAAACAGGTGGGTGCCTACTAAAAGCAGTTGCTAATTGTTCTGGTTTATTTTTATCTTGTTGAAGTATGCAAACATGTTGCTAAACGTGCAAGATTTAAACAGCTCATTTTAATGCACTTCTGGAAATGTGTTTACTGTGACTCTCTCCAGCTTGCTGTGTGATCATAGGTAAATCACATAACTTCGCATGGCTCAGAGCCTGAATCTGTGTAATAGAGATGGTGGTCCTTATCATCAAAGGATCTTCTTTGGCACGTACCCATTCTACATACCAATACCAATGCCAATCTGCTTGAAAACATTGCTTTCTCCTATGTTGAGGGTAGACAGGTTTTGAGAGTAGGTGAGGGGAGTTTCAGTGCAGAATACACCATCAGCAAAGATCAATAACCCATTCATAAACCCCAAACTGTGGGCTTATATTTGTCACATACTGCACTTGGGAATATGGAGGAATTAGAGAAGTGGTCCCTCACCTCAGGAAGCTCCCCGACCAGCTGGGGAGATGAGGTATACAGAGAATTAACTACAGTGCAATAAAAATAACAGAAATGACTGATACTTATATAAAATTTACTATCTTCAAGGCACTGCTTCAAGTATTTTACCGATATTAACTTAGTTAATCCTACAGCAACTCATTTTACAGCGGAAAAAACTGAGGCATAGAGATGGTAAGTCACATGCTCAAGTCCATGCATTTAACCTCTGCACTACATGATAGAATGACGGGGAAGAGATTGCTAAAAATAGGGGTCATATTGTTTCCCAAATATGTTCCTTAAATTACGCAGGTTTATACTACAGGAAGAGGAGCCCTGGTGGCACAGTGGTTAAGAGCTTGGCTGCTAACCAAAAGGCCAGCAGTTCGAACCCACCAGCTGCTCTGCGGGAGAAGCAATCTGCTTCTATAAAGATTACAGCCTTGGAAACCCTATGGGGCAGTTCTACTCTGTCTCATAGGGTCTCTATGAGTCAGGAATTGACTCGACAGTCGTGGGTTTGGCTTGGTTTATGCTACAGGAGTCAATAAAAGCTTTTAAATATCTTTTATAGAAATGAAAGACATATCGCTGGCAGGTTGCTTTTCTACTCTCTTGTACCCAAACAAACTATAACAGTAATTGTAACATTTTTTTCTCAAATAATCAGAGGTGGTCCCTTGGCCATTTTGTAGAAAGCCACTACTAGTGCATTTGAGGTGATACTCTCTTGGACTCTTGCCATTTCTGTTTAAGCTACTAAGAACTATTCATATTTAAATGTGCAAAGACTTGGGCATACATCTCCCCCTCAGAACTACTCTTTAATGGATGTTCTTAACAGTGGGCTATATACAGGTGGAGTCCTAATGTTTATCCTATCCTATTCTATCCTGTCCTGTCCTATCCTATCCTGATTTGTCTATCTGTCCTACTAAAATGTTGATTCTTTTTTCCACATAAATCTTTTTTTCAAGTTGGCTGAGTGCATCTTTCAAGTTCTTTGGATTGAGTGACTACTCTCCGTCTTGCCTAGGTGTGATCCTTCTGGACATTCCCCCGTATCTTGCCTCTGGAAATATAAATCATGGGCTTTGGAGTAAGTTTCTGACTGTAAGACCTTGGGGACATTACTTTAACTTTCTGAGCCTTACTTTCCTCAACTGCAAAATGGGGACAATTGTGTGAAAATTAATAAAATATTAACTGCTTAGCACAGTGTCCAGTACTAGTAAGCACTCACTAATGCCAGGTATTATTATAGGATATTTATAATAATTATATCATAAATATTATTTAAAATACATAGGACTATATTTTGATAATAAATTATTAAAATTCATGGATTTAGTTGTATGTTAATTAAAAATTAAAAGTAATATTATAAAGTACATCTAGGAATCACCACTGGGGGTATTTTCTACTATCTTCTGAGTTTTACCATTGGTAGAAGCTTCCTAGCATCAAACGTAAGACCACTGACTAAAATTTGTGTCTGTCCAATTTACTTTGTCATTAGTGGATGCCCAGAATAGCTGCATAAAATAAGCCTTTCAATCCATCTTAGTGTTATAAAGCCTGTCCCTTTACCATCAAAACCAAAATAAAAGCAATGATCATATGAACCTCTTTAACATCCACTTCATTTCACAGTTTACAAAAAAACTTCAAATCTCTTATCTCATTTTTCTTAAACCTGGGAGATATGTTTTATTATTATCCTACTTCATAGATTGGGAAACAGGCTTGGAGAATATAAGCTACTGGCCTTTAGGATTCAGCAATTGATGGAGTCTCTTTGAACTCTAAAATATTTTCTATCTAGCCTTTTGTTCACTGAGAAAATTCCAAATCCACTATTTGCCCAAATATTTATCCCAACCATCCTTCCTTCTTTAGAAAACATGACCAGTTATTGGTTGCCACCAGGGGAGGATTATCTAATAGGCAAGGGAAGCACAGTGCTTACCTTGCTTACTAGATCATCTGTAGTGAACAATATCACATTTTTTTCACCACATCAAAGATTCTGCTTCTAGGTATGGCTGGCATCTGTCTCTTTTCCAACCCCTACAGCACCTTCCTACAGAATCAAAGCCTCTTTTCAAATTTACAATCCCTGACAGGGGCGCATGACTGGGAAAACAAGGTAAGCACGGGCTTACTTGTGCTTACTTACTAGTCTTAGTGAACAATTTTACATGTGAAATTGTTCACTATAGATGATCTGGTAAGCACTATGCTTATCTTGCCTATTGAATAATCCACCCCTGGTTGCCACTAGTTTTCCCTCTCCCCAAGGATATTTACTTGACAACCTCCATTAGAGAATATGCACAGAATAGTTTCCCAGAAATGCTGATTTGTTGATGGATGATCTGCCTTCACCCTGGATGAAGAACACCCTGGCCTACATATTTCCTCACACATAATAAAGAGGAGTGATTCATCAGTGGGCAAAGTAGGTATCATTTGCTCAACACTAGAATGGGGCCATGGTGGTTTGCTAAATACTGTGGTTAATAAACCAGCAAAATGACCTCAGTTAATCCTTATTCCTCTTTAAAGACAGTTGTAAATGTTCCCAGATCTGGCTGACACATTCTTTGGCTGTTAAGGAACTAATGAATTTCATAGAAACAGAGAAAACAGGCACAAATAGTGAGGAGGTCATGGGAAAGGCATTCCAAATCTAACAGAATCTGTCTCCAAAGTCAACAAAACTCCGTTCTTCCTCAGAACAGTTCACAAGTATGAGAAGGGTCTAAGGGAGTCTCTTAGCAATGAAATTTATGATCCATCATCCATCATCACAACTCATCATTTCTCTAGAATGTCTTTTCTATCTCCTTTTTTTTTTTTTTTGGTAACCGTATCATCACTCTCATATCTCATAGTCTTGATCTAAATATCTAGACATAAGGTTATTTCAATAACCTGTTGATCTGCTTTTCTCCAGTCTCTCCTCTAAACAATCCATCTCAGCTTTCATTATGTTCTCCTCTGATTGAAACTTTGATGGATACCTGTCCCTCAGGATTCACAACAGGGTCTCAACTTTACTATCCAATACAACATAAGCTCCTAGTACTAGTTCATCTCTTCCCCATCATACTCATTCCCACCTTTAAATCTTTGTAGATGGTTTCCAATCCAGAATGCCCTGCCCAACTATCCAACTATCTCCTCAAGGGTCAGCTCAAGGTCTCCCTTTTCCATGAAGTACTCTTTTAATATCCCAGCCCACATTAGATAGTAAGCTTCGTCTGGACTCTGATACTCATTAGTGCCTTCAGTTATAAAACTTTATTATATGCTTTTTTTTTTTTAATTGGCATTGAACTATTGTCTTATCCAAAAGTGAATGTAAGCTTTTTGGAGGCCATAGACCATGTCTCATCTTTTCTGGTTTCCCTCCTGATCCATCCTCAGAGCAGTGCTGGGCTCATAACACATATTTGACAAAAACTTTCCTAATTCAGCTAGATGAATTTTTCATTTAAAGTTTTAGAGTTGTTTTTTTTTTTTTTCTCTCCTTGGTATAATTATGAAAAGTCCTTTGGTCTTGTGTAGTAGTATTACACCATGTGGTCTAGAATTGAGTTGTTTTGGAAATCCAAAGCAATTAAAAACAAACACACACCACAGAGAATGACAAGACAGACATTATTATTGCTATATATTTACTTCTACTGGAGGGTACTAGAAAAGAGAATGGGTATACTAACTGTTCATAAGTCAAAAGTATCTGATTAAACACAATAGCTTCAGTCCATCTGCTTTCATATCTTCTCCTTGTTCTGTATTCTCCAGGTCTCTCACCTAGTTCTGGACTTCGTTCTCCCTCATGTGGACATTGCAATAGACACCTTTATCTTTCACTGCCTCCAATTTCTCCTTCATTCTGCACACAGTCATTCAAGAATTTTTCTGAAGTATAAATTTGTCATGCCACACTTCTCCTTAGAAACTCTCAGTTAAGTCCAAATTCTCTAGTCTGGCATTTAAGATTTCCCAAGATCTAGTCCCATCCTGTATTTCCACCTTTAGCATTTACTATTCTTCTCAACAGCCCCTATATTCTATCCAAACAGAACTCCTTGCGTTGAGCTTAACATATAAAACCCTGCTTAACTAACCTTGCACCTTTACCAAAAAGGCCCCTCTATTTCATTCCTTTGAGTGCAAACGACATTTTATCTTTAATGATCAATTTAACATTAAGAAAACCTTTCCCGATCACTCTACCAGGAAGGAATTCTCCTTTCTCTGAATGCCCATATAGCACATACACTCTAATGGCATTTATCATCTTCCATCTTGGATTTGTTACTTATCTACATTCATTTATTTATTCATTCCCTCAAAAATGTTGAACAGAATTGTTCAAAGTGTTTGAGATTAAAAAAAAAAAAAGGAGTATGGTCTACTGGTGAGATAGTAATAAACTTCTAAATAAAAAAAAAATGTCAAATATGCTAATGGAAGTTAAAGAACCATAAGAGGCCAGATGAAGGTTGGCATAGATTTGTCTAGGGTAATCAGGGGATTTCAGAGGAGCAGTGTTAATTAGCCAGGTGGACAAAATGGGGAGTTGGCAGGGGTTGGGTTAGGTAGAGGAAAGGTTGACCTATTAGGTGAAGAGCTTAGGGTGAGAAAAGGCACGGACACATGAGAAAGCAAGGCACATTTGCAGAAAGGCAAGTTATTCATTATGACTGGGTAAGGTATGTCAAGAGAATAGCAATGGTAAGAGAAGAGACTGGTCAGGTGGACAGGAACCAGATTTTGCCTTGCTAAGAAGTCTGGAGTTCATCCTGTTAGCAGCCGGGGGCCTCTGAAGTATCTTAATCAGAGGAATTAGAAGACTGAATTGTGGACTAGACTCTGGTAGGAGGGTGAAGGGAGGATCAAAAACATGAAGACACCTGGTGGGAGAATTCGTGTCTGGTTCAACTTTGTATTTCCTGATTGTACTTAGCACAGTGCCAGGCACATGACTTATTTAAGGTTGTATTTATTCAATAAGTGAAAGAAAATGAGCTGTCCACTTTTAGACTAGAATACGAATAGAAAGGTATGCCTGTTTTAAAGTTCATACTTCACCTGTGTTACTGAGATCACATAAGTAGAGTACATTTTCCAGCTTCCTGAACCTATCTACCCACGTCTCACATTCTTCGGACTCATTCTTCATGATGCGATCCACAAAAGGCTGGGACACTGGTCTGATCTTCAAAGAGCTCAGAGGATCTTTTGGGGCCAACGTATCAGCAGGAGGGCTTTCTGGCTGCAGCTCTTCTTCTGGCGTTTTCTACCAAAACAACACAAGCATCTCACTGGCAATGCATTCACCACCCAGCGCTTGTCCAGTCTTTTGGCCAAAGATAAGGCCACACAGCTAGAAAGATTTATTGCAAGATCTGGCTTTGTAAAGTTAAGAGGATGTGTTTCAAATCCTCAGAGCAATAGGACCTATCTGCCAAATGTTGCTGGATATAAACTACTATGTTGAGTTTCTTTTTTTTTTTTTTTAAAGGAAAGGTTGAAATAAATCATGATGTTGATTTAGTTTTCATTTCTGACTTGCACAAGGCAAGGAGTTTTGTAACTGATGGGGACATTTCATGATGTTCTCCATTTTGTACTAGTGGGACTCATAGCAGATGGGCTTCAGGCAATGCTTGTAATTTCTTAGTAGGGAAACCTGTGGATCATGAGTGTGAAATTATTTCCAAAGAGCGACTGAACAATAGTAATGTTATCTAAGGCTCATGGGCCTAGTATAAAGGATCATAAAGCACCTTAAGTTCTGTCTGACCTGTTCACTTAACAGAAAGTTGAGGCCCAGAGAGTGGAAATAACTGACAACATCACACAGTAAATGGAAGACACAACACTGGAACCATGGGGTAGAGGTTGTATCCAGCTCATCTTGGTATCCTAACTCCATGGCCAGTACATAATAGTGGTGCAATAAGTGTTTTTTTTTTTTAAGAATAAATAGACAAATGAGTCCCTGCTGGATGCCACATAAGGCATCCTGCCACCTACTGTGTAGGCAGAGCGGGCATCTATTGTTTGATCTGCCCAGCCTCACTTTTCCAGGAATTCCGTCCTGCCGATGCACATGTTTGTAGAGGGAACTGCCATGTTCTAAGTGCATACAGGGGAGGATTAGCTAATCAGCAAGATATGCACAGGCTTACAGTAAGCAAGGAACACACAGGCTTACTTGTGCTTACGGACTAATCTGTAGTGCACCATTTGATGTGGTGAAAAACAGGTGAAATTGCGCACTACAGGTTAGTCAGTAAGCACAAGTAAGCCCGTGTGTACCTTCCTTATTGGTAATCTGTCCCTGAATGCATATTTCAGAGCTGGTCGTCTAGGCAAAATGGGTCAATAAGTCCATTGTCCAGGAATTTTGGAATTATTTGTGAGAGATAAAGCCAAAGAAATAGAGATGTGGAGATCATTCTCTGTGTGAGAGGTTGGAAATCTAACAGCTTTTTTATTTTGTGTACTGGAAATGAGAAAAGGCAGGTCTGCTGAGAGAAATTGAGAGAGACAACATAAAGCCGACAACAGGATGAAGAGACAAGACATATAGGAAGCTGTGATGACGCTAGAGTCCCTAATTTTAGTTCATTCTTGCATTTCCACCCTTAGGTAACATAATATGTTCCTCTATGGGTGGTGCAAATGTTCAAGTGCTCAGCTACTAACTGAAAAGCTGGTGGAACCAAACCACCCAGAGTTACCTCAGAAGAAAGGCCTGGTGATCTATTTCAGGAACATCGCAACCATTGAAAACCCCAGGAGTGTAATTCTACTCTGAAATACATGGGGTTGCCATGAGTCAGAATTGACTGGATGGTAACTTCCAACACAGTAAGCTAGTAGAGTTGGTTCTGTTAATTAAGAGCAACTGCAACCCGAATAGGAAAAGCTAACACATGACAAAATCCTGCCCCTAACTTTTGTACACTCTGTGCTCCCCTAACTTTCAAATGTCTGAATTTCTCCAACTTTGTATCGTTGTCATAAACTTCTCACGTACAAACTGTGAAAACCCCATTCCTCTAAAGAATAATAATTGCAATAAGAAGCCAAGTTTTGAGCTTGTTAACAAACATGGATTAAGCTGCTGCTAGGAAGTGAATTTCTTTTGTTTAAAACAATCAAATGCTATAGCAAACTGTACCCACATGGATAACCAACAACCAGTGAGTTTTAAGGGATTAACATAAAATAATTCTACTTTGGTAAAATCAACTTGGGGAAAAACAGAAAGTTGTCATAAAGTAAATTAGAATAGTGGTTCTTATACTTTTTAGAGCTTTGGACCACTTAGAAAGTCTGATGAAAGCTTTAGATAGTCTTTTTAGGTAAACGTACATTTTCACAAATTTTGGTGTGTAATTTTGGCAAATTTTGGTGTTTAATTTTGGCAACTAACAATAGCAGCCATAAATACAACAAAGAAAAATGCCCTTGGTCCTGAGAAATTAATTTGAAACAGCTTTGTATTTCTGTAGACAGTACACTACTCTCTTTAACCACTAAAGACAAATTAAAGGGGGTTTGCATGGACCTGAATTAGGTTCATCTAACAAACTAAAGCACCCTATGATATTTCATTCCCACTGTGTCAGGATGAAGTCCAAAGTCTTTGCTTGGCAAATAAAACCATTCATATTCTCATTCTTGCTTATCTCCCCAGCTTTATATTCTTTTAGTCCTACATATATATCTTTTCCTTTAGTCATGTAACACCATGCCATTTTCAGGAAAAAAAAAAAAAAGCTGTTTTATGCCTTTATGTCTTCATACATGTTGTTCCCTCTATCATGAAACCTCTTTTTTTTTTTTTTTTTTGCCACCTATTCCTTGATTAGTTGAACTACTATACATCCTTTAGATTCCCTGACAGCCTCAAGCTGGGCAAAGGGTGATTCTTTGTAGCCCCTTTATCTATCAAAGCACTTATCCCTGGATATTGTAATTGTCTGTTTGATGATCTGTTTCCTCCACCAGAGACCTGGAGGGCTGCGCCTGTGACAGTACCTTTTATATTATCCCCAGGATGTGGTTAGTGGCTGGCATAGAGGTGGTTCTCAAGACATGTTTACTGAATAAGTAAATGAGTGAATGATTTTCTATTGGACCATAGGACAGTTGCTTTACCAACCATGTGCTTCAATTCCATTCCCTTTTTAAAAAAGTGGGACAAGGAATGTGAGGAGAATCAGTTATTGCAGAGATACAGGAAAATCCTCAAACGAGGCAAAATAAAAGAGCAAAGTATTTTTTTTTTTCATAATCTTATTCACAACAGACTTAACACTCGAGAAAAGCATTTGCTGTTGTTTCCTGCATGGCAAGAGGCCTGCCAAAATGGATACTATTTTCTAAAATATTTCGAAGTGTGAAGTGCATGAAGAGGCCTCCCGTCATTTTAAGATGAATTATGTTCTAATCCGGGTATTTAAAAAACAACAACAGAAACTCAGGCTGTTTTTTCAATTCTGTCTGCATCTTCTCCTGGCTAAGTGCTGGGACTATTAAAACATATTTCAAATGCTTGCCAGATTTTTTTTTTTCCTTTTAAATCAAAGAGCCCATTACATTTAAAAGTGTGATGTCTGGGGAAAAGTTCAGCCTCAGTTTCTGGAAGCTGGACTTAAGATGTCAAAATAGATCTCATACCAGCCATATTTTGATGGCAGTTGGTGGATTGGTCTCGGGATTTGGAAGGACACCCATACAGATGCTGCCTGTTCAGTTTCTTGGGGCAGGTGGCAAGCCCTTCACCAAGCAATGCCATACCAACGAGGACAGGAACCAACTCACACTCTAGGCTTCCTCTGCCTCAGCTCTCTGCCTGGGGAGAGTCTTGAAGTCAAAATCGGTCTGACATAGAGGGGTTGGGTAGGAACCAAAAACCCAGAGGAGAGGACCCCACCCAGCATCAGAGAATAGCAGGCGCAGGATCTGTGGAGACTTTGCCTGAGCCCTATAGATCCAGGTGCATACCATATGTTCATTTTTGCTTTGAGACATCTCAGGAACTTCAGGCTCCACTGGAGTGGCAGCAACATCCTTTTCATTCTTTCCTGAGCAAGAGAGAAAAAAATGCAATGGTTTAGTTGGGTCTCTTCTTCTATACCCAGGAAAAGAAAACATTGGGACTCTGCTATATGGTCAGCACAGTGTTAGGTGATGGGGATACATGGGTGAAGAAGAAAGACATGGTCCTGCCCTGACTGAGCCCACGTAGGGGAGGTTGATGTTGAATAATTACTAAAAATTACTATTTACAAACTACCATAAATAACATATGCTCCTTGAAAGTGAGGATGGTGAGACTTCAGCTCACTTACTCTGGACACATCATCAGGAAAGACCAATCCCTAGAAAAGAGCACAACGTTTGGTAAAGTAGGTCAGTGAAAACAAGGGAAGCCCTCAGTGAGACGCATTGACACACCAGCCACAACAATGGTCTCAAACACACCAATGACGGTGAAGATGGCGCAGGACCAGGCAACATTTCATTCTGTTATACGTAAGGTCACCTTGAGTCAGAGCCGATCTGACGGCAGCTAACAACAACAGAAACCATTAACACTACAAAGCAAAAATATGGGGAAATGTGAAAGTATTTAAACCTTTTGTGTGGCAGGGGTGGGAGTGGCAGGGGATCAGGGATAGCTTCTTGAATAAAGGCAGTCGCACTTAAACCAGTGACCTGAAGGATGAATAGGAGTTTCTCCAGGCAAAGGTGGTGGTGGTGGGTGTGGGTGGAGCAGAGAGTTCCAGAGAAGCAGAGACAGGAGCCAGTAGAAAGGCCTTGAATCAGAAGGGCTTCCTATGGTCCCGCCTCTTAATAGAGAAGCAAGCACTTCTGCCCCTCTCTCCATGCAGGTATATACCAGTAAGATCAGGCAGAACCCTTCTCTTCTCCCTTCCTTGCTCCTTTCAATGGTCTGAGACACTGGAGGAAAAGAGGTATGAGCAGCATCCCAAACATGGGAATCCTGTTACCCAGGTGCTACCTGCTGCAGGCTACTGCCTATGTGAATCCACCACCACCACCAATTGCCATGGAATCCATTCTGACTCATGGTGGCCCCATGTGGGTCACAGTAGAACTGTGCTCAAAAGGGATTTTAATGGCTTATTTTTTGGAAGTAGATTGCCAGGTGTTTCTTCTGAGGCATCACTGGGTGAACTCGCACCTCCAGCCTTTTGGTAAGTAATGGAGCGCGTTAACTGTTTCCACCACCCAGGAATTCTCTCTGTGAATAAAATAGGTTTTCTTAGCATGCAGGAAAAAGACATGAAGACCTTCTGCTAAAATCCCGTAAGACTTATTGCTGGTCTCATGCTTTCATTATTCCACACCTCTCATCAGACTTGGCTACTTAATTTATTTTACAAATCCATATAACAACCACACAGCACAGGTTTCTGGGAGTCTCAGGTTAAATATTCAGTGAATACTTCAAATATGCAATTAAAATCTATATTATTTCTGAATTTGGTCTCACTATTTTCAATGAAAATGATTCAATCAATAATTTTAAACAAAAGATATAGGGAGATAGGGTAACAGTGGTTGAGAGTATAGGCTCTGAAGCCAGATGTTTTGGGTTTGATGTCTCGTCTTGGTTCCTCTCCTTAGCTGCATGGCCTTGAGAAATTAAATGCCCTCTCTGTGCCTCATTTCCTTAACTGTAAAACGGAGAAAATCACACCTATAGGTTGTTGTGGGGATTAAATCAGTGAGAACATGCAAAGCAAGTACCTGGAACATAGCCAGTGCTTAATAAATGTTAACTAATAGTATTATCTATGTAAAGATGTTTATATAAGTACATTCACATCAGATTAAAAAGCCTTTTTGTTAGATGACTTTTAACATGGTACTTAGGAATCTTTGTGAATTTTCTCCCTTAGTTTCTTGAGAGAAGGCAGTGTGATTTCATAATCTTCTCTGACACCCTAGCACCCAGCATAGAGTAAGCGCTCAATGCATGTTTGATGAATAAATGAATGATGATGTGCCCGAATTTGGAGTTTGAAAAATAAAGGCACTGCATATATAAAAGACTCAAATTACTCAGAGCCACAGAGTTGGAGAGCTAAAGGAATTCTAGAAGCCGTATGTGGCAGAAGGGCAGGAAGACGAACTTTGGTGTCAGACAGACCTGAATGTTAATCTTGATTCTTCCCTGTACCTGCTGCAAGCTTTCAGATCTGAATTTTGTCATTTGTGAAAAGGGGATGATACCAGCGATTTACAGTAATGTTGTGGAGTTTAAAAAAAAAAAAAGCCTACATAAAATAATATACAGAAAAGATGCTCGATGCAAAGTCTTATTATTTGTTATTGTGTTATTACTATTATAAGATGTTAAGCAAGTCTAGCTTCCCCAGAGGAGTGGACTGACATTAATTACGATGTGCCAGGCATTTTTCTGGGCACTGTTCACATGTATTATCCCTTTTAGAATAAGATCTAGAACCTAGACCTTGTCCCAGCCCAGTTCCTCTTTACTGTCTGAACTTCAAAAAGTTCCATTAGGAGAAAATGCACGCTAGTTCACCTGGTCTCTTTACAACTTCCCTTTTCTCCTCCCTAATACCTATAAACATACAAAAAGGTAATTGTTTGCACATGTAAAAAGTGTTTGAAAACCCCAACTCAGGCAGAGCTAATTTTTTCTCCCTAACATAGCAGGAAGGATAAATAATAACCATCTGTCTAGTCTGCCAGTTGAAGATTTGTACTGGAGGATATAAACCAAGCTGGCTTCTAGAGTTTTCCAGGTGTTGGAAGGGCCAGGTTTTACAGGGCTTCCAGTGGACACCCCAGCTAATGACTTGACATCAGTGGTCTTCCGTGCTGGTTGCACATTAGACCCACCTGGGGAGCTTTAAAAATTACCATTGCTCAGGCCTCACACCAGACCAATTAAATGAGAATCTCCAGGGGTAGAAACCCAGCTAGTACTTTTAAACAATTCCCTAGGTAATTTTAAAGTGAAGCCAGAGTAGAGAAAAGCTGATTTAAATAAAAGCTTCTGGCCTCATGGGGCGGGCTGAATGAAGCTTTTGTGAGAAGGGAACAAATATCTGTTAACTGTCTGTTACATGCTAGACATTCTCCACATGTTTTGTCACTTAATCTAAGGAATAACCCTGTGAGGCAGAAGTTATCCCTTTTTGACAGATGAGGAAACTGAGGCAAAAAGAGGTTCAGTTACTTAAGACAACAAAAGCTGGGGCAAGTTTGGGATTCTAATTCAGTTGGAATTGTTTTTTTGTTAGCTGCCGTCAAGTCGATTCTGACTCATGGCAACTGCATGTGTGCAGGTTAAAACTGCTCCACAGAGTTTTGAAGGCTGTGACATTTCAGAAGCAGATCGCCAGGCCTACGTTCTGAGGCACGTCTGTGTTCAAACCCCCAACCTTTTGGCTAGTAGTTGAGAGCGTATCCCTTTTTGCCACCCAGGGACTCCTCGGTAAGGAATGGCCCCAAGCAAATCCCGATAATATTCTCAGATATGAAGCACTCTTTCATTCATTAATTTAGCAAACATTTGTTAAGTGCCAACTATATTTGAGTTGACCATTGTTTTAATTTGCATTTCCCTGATGACAAATAGAGTTTAGGATTCTCGCAAATACTTATTATCAGTCATCTTCTGCTATTATTTTATTTAGAATTTCTGGATTTATGTGCTTGGGAGAGAATGGCCTATAATATCTTTTCTTGTAATTATGTTGTTCAAATCTCCTATATCCTAATGCATTTTCTGATCCTTGGGTAGTGCAGACAATTAAGCACTCAGCTACTAACCAAAAGACATGCAGTTCAAATCTACCCAGAGGTGCCTCGGAAGGAAGGCCCGGCCTATGAAGTGCAGTTCTACTCTGAAACACATGGGGTCACCATGAGTCAGAATCAACTCAACAGCAACTGTTTTCTATTTTCTTTTTCTATCAGTTATTTAGTAAGGAACATTAATATCTCCCAATAAGGTTGGGGATTTTGCTCTGCCAGTTTTGCATTATATATGTTGAGGCTATGTTATTAGGTGATGCAAATTGAGAATTGCTATGATTTCCTGGAGAATTGACTCTTTTATCATTATTCTTCTTTATCTCTAATAATGCTCCTTACCTTAAAATGTACTTGATCTGGTAGTAATATACTTACACCAGCTTTCTTTTAGTTAGCTGTTTGCATGGTATACTTTTTTAGTCCTCTGATTTTCAACTTTTTGGTGTCCTTATATTTAAAGTGTGCCTTTGCTAGCAACATGTATTTGGTTTTTGTTTTCCTACACTTTCTAGCAATTGCTGTTGTTGTTAGGTGTTGCCGAGTCATTTCTGACTCATAGCAACCCCATGTACAATAGAACAAAACACTGCCTGGTCCTGAACCATCCACACAATCTTTGCTATGTTAGAGCCCATTGTTGCAGCCGCTGTGTCAATCTACCTCACTGAGGGTCTTCCTCTTTTTTGCCGGCCCTCTACTCTACCAAGCATGATGTCCTTCTCCAGGGACTGATTCCTCCTGATAACATGTCCAGAGTATGTGAGACATAGTCTCGCCCTTCTTGCTACTAAGGAGCATTCTGGCCGTACTTCTTCCAAGACAGATTTGTTCATTCTTCTGGCAGTCCATGGCATATTCGATACTCTTTGCCAACACCATAACTCAAAGGCATCAATTCTTCTTTGATCTTCCGTATTCATTATCCAGCTTTCATATGCATATGAGGCGACTGAAAACACCATCGCTTGGGTCAGGTGCACCTTAGTCTTCAAGGTGACATCCTTACTCTTCAACACTCCAAAGAGGTCATGAAATATTTGAGTGAAAAGGGACCCTAGAA